AAAAAAGTAAAAAGAAGAAATAAGGGGGTGGGGGTGGGAGGGGGTAATGTTAGACTTAAATAGAAATGAGTAAAAAAAAGTAAAAGAAGAAATAAGGGGGGTGGGGGGTGGGAGGGGGTAATGTTAGAATAAATAGAAATGAGTAAAAAAAGTAAAAAGAAGAAATAAGGGGGGTGGGGTGGGAGGGGGTAATGTTAGATTAAATAGAAATGAGTAAAAAAGTAAAAGAAGAAGTAAGGGGGGTGGGGGGGGAGGGGGTAATGTTAGAATTAAATAGAAATGAGTAAAAAGTAAAAGAAGAAAAAAGGGGGTGGGGTGGGAGGGGGTAATGTTATTAAATAGAAATAGTAAAAAAAAAGTAAAAAGAAGAAAACAAGGGGGATGGGGGTGGGAGGGGGTAATGTTAGAATTAAATAGAAATGAGTAAAAAAGTAAAAAGAAGAAAATGGGGTGGGGGTGGGAGGGGTAATGTTAGAATTAAATAGAAATGAGTAAAAAAGTAAAAAGAAGAAACAAAGGGGTGGGGTGGGAGGGGATGTTAGACTTAAATAGAATGAGTAAAAAAAAGTAAAAATGAAGGGGGTGGGGGTGGGAGGGGTAATGTTAGAATTAAATAGAAATGAGTAAAAAAAAAGTAAAATGAAGAAACAAGGGGGGTGGGGGTGGGAGGGGTAATCTTTTAGCCCACGTCGTCAGGAAAATGTTGTCTTGACTTTAATTTTCTTTAGTGAAATGTCTCTGATGGCTCCACGAGTACTCAGCCACCAAGGATTCAATTCTTTGACCTTTTGACCTCACACTATTTCACCTTTCCTTAAGTTTTCGCTATTTTTTATCCCAGTATTATCTTTTTTTTTCAATTTCATTATAATCATATTTATCAAAATGTCATCAATATTACTAATAGTAATATAAGACAAAAGAGAATATTTCCGATAATTAAAAAAAATGGTAAGTAAAGTTTAATCTATCCTTTGCTTATAACAAATCAAAATTAAAAAATCCCCAGCAGCATCTATCTCTCCTTTGCTTCGATAAAAATCCGAATCTTCCTGAATAAAGAACGTTTTATCCCTATATTATCTACTAGAAAAAGGCTGTACCTCTACGACCACATACTTTAATACCCATTAAGTAAATTGAAGGGAAAAAAGTGCACCTCTTCAGCTCCCTTCCTTTAAATACCTA